AGTTATCGTCGGGACGGACGGACGGACGGATGGACAGACAAAGCTAAATAAACTCAGAATTCAACTCTGATCAAATACATACACTTGAGTCTATATCTAAGACCGTTATTTCTTAGCGTTACAAACGGTAAGGCAAATTTAGTATACCCTTCGAACATACGTTCGTACGGGTATAATTATTGACTAAACATTAATAAAAATATTCTCAATTGTTCTTGTGTTAAATTTTCAGTGATTTTGTCAATAATAAAGTGCACAACATTTAAATTTTAAAGTTAATTCGATATTAGAAACCAAAAACTTGAAAATGCATTTGAATCTTAGTTTATGCAAATAATTTTTAATATTCATAAAATTCACTCTACATTAGTGTTTGCTATTTAAAATAAAATCACAATATGTAGTAAACTCTTTCATAATACTTCCTTTTTATATGTGCATAATATTAAACTTCTAAAAAAAATTTAAAAATTTTATCTCATATTGCAAATATTGCAAATTCAAGAAATTTAGGGCACAAATTTAAAATAATTCCAAAATTGTTCCATTTATTAGGAAGTTCTCTCCTTTATAATGTTACAATCATCCTCTTTCAAAAAAATTCTAATTTATGAGTTCGTCATAACGTACATTATGTGTATAAATTTTCTCCTTATAGCATATTATGTTATCCAAAATCGATATCAAAACTACATACCCAAAGCACTTGTTATACATAATATACATATAAAGGAATCAAAAAATAAAAATTTACGCAAACATTTTTATGATTTCAATATCAATGCTCAGGACCTCTGAATCGAATAAAAATGATACTAAAGGTGTTATTGACATTTTAGACAATTTATATAGAGATCTTGGGGAAAAAAAAAGTACTACAATTTTTTTTCTTTTTGTTTTTTTGAATACTGAAAAATTTATTTTTAGCATAAGGGCAAAATATAGGAGTGCAATTGTATGTTACTCTTTAAGGGTAAAGTAAATTTTTATCGAAAGGAAAAGCATCTGTATTTTAAGGACTTAAAATTTTTTTTTGGAAATTTATTTTAATTTTTTCTTTTTTTATTTCTTCGAGTCAATTAATAAAGAACATGAACTTTTTTATGATAAGAAATTTTATCGGAAATTTATTATGTAATGAATTTAAGATAATTTTTAAGTTTTCAAAAAAAATTCTGACTTTAAGGTATAGATCCTAACATCATGTTTAACATTTTAAGTTAAGTAAAATAAAAATGATATGACGTTATGCGTATAGATTTCGACACATTTATATAATCAAGGTAACAAATAGATTTCCCTTGCATATTTAAAATTTTCACAAATGGCAATAGTATCTCTGTGGCCTTAGAATTTAAAAATCTAAATAAATAACTTTCAGTATAATTTAAACACAGATACAATTTATTTGATTATCCGATTCGCAATGCCGTAATTCTGCTCATAAGGAGAAGGGAATGAACTCTGGATTATTTTGGAAAAGAAGTCTAATTATTTATCTAGAACAAAATATACATAGTACCTATTCATTCTGCTTAAACTCTATTCAATCCTGAAATTTGTTTTCAATTTTCATTATTGCGAAAATAAAAAATCATCCAGGAATTCTCTATTTCATATTCTCATTTAAATGCGAAAAGTAGGTATTCTTTTTACCTCAAAATTTTAAATAAATATAATTTAATTACAACAATTACATTATGTAATAATCACCTGCTCCTCTTCCTCTGACCCTGGTAATAAAATGATAAATACTTGAACAATTTATTATCATTTTTATTGCCCCTTTTCTCAACTCAGCTTGCTCATCAAAACAATATTTTTCTTTTCTTAAATTTCGTGCCTATTATACAAAATTAAAATCAGATTATAAAATGTTTTATTACATTTTAGATTTTTAATGGTAACATTTATTTTAAATTTCTAATCACACTGCCAACAATAAATAAGTACTCAAAATGACTCTATTAATTATGCACGTGTTTCTCTTTCAATAGACAATTATTCCAATTTTTATTTTAAATAGCTGAAAATTGTAGATTATCATTTGTCAAACTGAAAAAATTATATAAATTGTTCCTCAGATCAATTGATATAGTAATGTAAAAAGAACTCCCATCATGGATGCGAAGGATAATGTGGAATAAGTTTAGGTTTAAAAAGATATTTCAATTGAATAAGGTTATTTAGATTTTCCTTTCGAATATTGAAAAATTGATTTCTTCTAACTCAATTTTAAGCAAGATTAAAGTCTCGTCCTGCAATTAAAGTCACTAATTTTAAAAATCTTCTTATCGTTTTTCCAATTTTAAATTTTAAAATTGATTTGTATGGCCACGAAGTAAATCCAAATAAAAGCAGTACAAACAATACAAAAAGCAGCTGTTTCTTCCGAATGTACACCAAAATTCATACCCAAATTATAACATGTAAAAGCGATTATTATATATAAGTTCTATATGCAAATACTTTGGACAAATACATATGCATTATACAAAGAAAATTTAATTTTATATATAAAAATTTTTTTCAAACAGATTTGCCACAGGGAAAAAAAAGTTCGAATTTATATTGTACTATGATGGAAAACCATGTGAACAGTAAAAATGTAGAAATTAATTACCATTTCTACAACAATAAGAAATCCAAGAAAACATTAACGTATTAAAAGTCCAATTTTTCAGATTGTTTTTAGGTAGATCCATAATAGGTATTTAACAAGACTCTAAGGCAAATTTGGAACAAATTTCCGAAAATGTTGTGGAAAATTAAATTTAACGTTTATATTTAAATTTTGTTCGTAACTTATTAAGAAGTTCCTCGGATCACTAAGAAACCAATTAAACAATGTTAACAAAAATTTTACATGATATAAACATTGCAAATTTGAGCTTCGAATATAATTAAGAGCTATATTTTGTTAACAACCATAGTTAAAACCAGAGATTTCAATAAAAATACAAACGCAACTGAAATTATCTAATTGTAGACCCAGGGATTTATGAAAACGTGCTAGTGGTCTACGAAAAAATATGAATTTAATTAAGTTTTTTATTTAACTTTCTCACATCATAGGTGTAATTTGTTACTGTTAGACATTTAAATCTACCGAATAAAGTGGCGGGGATCACTCTGGTATATACAGAAGTAAATAAAATTTTAATAATTAAAACATCCGCACCTCTAAATAAAACCTACCCTAAATTATTACTGCTTGAAAATATTTTGTAAGCAGTTCCACTAAATTATTCTTATTACCTATTAGCGCTAATCAAAAACCGTTGTGTGATTTAAAATTTGTAGCGCGGTGTATAAAAAGCAATCTACAAAAGAAAAGTTTTTCCATATTAATTTGGCAACATCGAAGGTAAAAAATTTATATAATACATGTATTACATTTACATACAACATAAGAATGTCATCTGCGATTCAAAAATAAACTTAGGTATAAATTTCTTTTACATAAGAAAAAAATACTTACATACACATTGCTACGTAAAATTTATATACCTTCTCCGAGTTATTATGGGTCAATTTCAAAATATTTTTGTTATTAAAAATATTAACCTATACCGTATATATTCATGTACTCATATACATATAACAGCTTTATCGGAGGGAAAACAAAATGTGACGTAAAATACTTATTTACATAAGCATATTAAAAACAAAAATCGTACATAATTGTAATACATAACATAACATAATGTACATGTATTTAATAACAGTACATAACAATACCGAAATTCAAAAATAAACAAGAGCTTTTTTGAAAAGCTTTAAAACTTATTCTTCTGTTTCAATACCATTATGTTCCATTCTCACAATATACAATTAAAATGCAACTCGTTTTTTGGAATATCCTAGATTGAATAAGTTTTTATTTTCATATTTAACAGTTATATTCGGTCAATCCTGATGTTAGTCGATGAAAAATCTTCCGTCTATTTAGTTTAATCTTTAAAAGTACCGGAAATCAAATATTAAAAAAAAAATACATTTTTTTTACCGTTATATTTAGATTATTATATACAAACACGTTGTGTATGTCTATATGTTCCATAATATATGTATACCATCATAATATTAAAATAAATACACAAAATAAAAATAATAAAGTGAAAAAAAATTACTAATTTGAATTTCATAGAATTTTATGTTTTATGTTCTGCTTTTTTTATGAAGAAAAATAATATGTATGTAAAAATATTTTCTTTTTAAATATAGTTTAAAAAATAATATGTTTAGTTGAATTCTAATGAAAAAAATATAACAAAAAAAAAAGACGAGAAAATCGAAATTTACGCGTATATCAAAAAAACTATGTAGACTTTAACACGGAACGTATAGCATAAGCATATTTTATAAAATTCACTGTAAATCAGTAGAGAAGGAAGAGATCTTAAGAAAATTTGGAGTGTGTTTGGAATATTAGTGCTTCTACATAAGGTGAATTTACGGAAGGTTCTTTTACGGCGCGATTTCGTTGCGAATAATTTGATTTCAATATTTTTAAGCAGATCTCAAATATTTTTAAGCAGATATAAGAAAAAATTGCAATATTAATTAACATCTTAAATGATTTTTGTAGATTTGTAAAACTAAATAATTTAAAACGAAGAAAAATGTTCACTTTACAATACAAAACAAAAAAAATATTGTACTTGGAATATTTATTTTAGGTTCCAGTTTAAATTTTAAAACGATTTGAATATAAAATATAAGGTGGTTCGCTGTTTTGAAGTGCGGAACAAATATTTGTGTTTTTTGAAAACTTAAACTGCTCATATGTTAGCTTTTTGAAGCTGGAAAGAAAACGTGTCAAACAAGCTTATCAAGATTTTTAAACACATACAATATAATTGTTTTACTCACATGGAAATATTCTGATATAAATTTAATGCTTATATTATTAAAGTTACTTATGTGACAAGTGGTTTATTCAAGTGTTATTTAAAATATCATACAAAGCTATTGAAACAAGTAAAAATCAAAAGTATATAGCGAAAACGTCCGCACTGTGAAAATAAGTGTATAAATAAGATTACTATAACTAATGTAAGTCAAAATAGTGTTTAAATCACAATTTGTACATAAAAGCACAAAAACAAAATTAAGTATTGATGAAAAGTGAGTAAGAGGCGAAAATTCGCATCAATTTTCAAAAATCTGAAGGAAGCAAAGTCTTAAATTAACAAATTTCAGACAAAATTAAGGCAAAGGATTCAAATATCAGCAATATTATTCAAAATATCGGCAGTAGGTAAGATTATTTGCTACAAAATTAGTAAACCAACTAAGTCACACTTAGTTCGAAGTAAGATTTTCCAGTTTCGGACAATAAGTAAGGAAAAAAACTGTCAAGTAAAAGAGAATTTCATTATTATTATTTTCTAATCCATTAAAAATTCTATTATAAAATCCTTATTAAAAGGTTCGTGCTTCCAAAAAAAATATTATAAAAAAATAAAGAGGATGCAAAAAATTTCAAATTAAAATTTTAATGTAGAGTTAGTCAAAAGTGCACGTGCTAAAAATTCTTGTTTTTGTAAAAAAAAAAATTAATATCATAAAAAATTTATAAAAACCTTATCGTCTTGAGTCTTAATTTATGATTTATGAAAAGGAGGAAAAATGACCTTCAGAACAAAAAAAAATTTTTTTTTTTACTACATACTTTTAGGGGCCATTTTTCATAAAAACATTTTTTAATTAATTAAAATTCTTTGAACTGAATATAATTTGGTGTAACACAGGTCTTTAAACTCTCATGAAAAATTATTATTCTTGGATTATTATTCAACCAAAATTCATAAATTATAACGCAATTTTCTTGAAATTATTAAAGAATTTTTCCATAATATAATTATAGAATTAATTTTCCATAATTATGCTCTTGGATATTGTATGGCAATAACCTTGATTTATTTCATTAAGGATTGCATTTTTTATTTTCTCTTTTTAAAAAATTATGAATAGCTTATGAATTTGTTTCATTGTTTTTTTTTTAACTTAATATAATTAAAATATTTTACTTTTCGGATTTAGTCGTAATACCCGTACGAATAAAAGATTTTAAATATCGGAAATAATTGACATACAGTTTCATACAAGCTCTTGTCTATCCGTTTGTTAAAAATTTCAGCTTTATAGCGCTAACAGTTTCTAATATATGAACAATCAGCTTTTGAAGTTTTATGGTAGCTACCACATAAATCATTCTGACAGACGGATTAACAAACAAACATTGCTAAATTGAGACTGGATTCGACGCTGATCAAAAACATATACTTGAGTCTATTTCTCTTACCATTATTTCTCATCGTTACAAACTGTAAGGCAAATTTTTAATACCCTTCAAACATATGCGTTCGTACGGTTATAAACATCTCAATATTGAGGTAATAGCGATGGACAACTTCTTAACTCTAACAATTTCATAAAATTTTTAAGTTGATTCTGCAACCTCTTTATGGTCCAAAATTTATGTAATTAAGATAATTGAATTAAAATTTAAAATCCAATAAGATCAATTTATAATGCGTTTTTTCAATTTACGTTATCGCTTTAATATTCAAAAATTTTCCTTAAAGAAATTCATAACATAAGTTCATACCAAATCACGGAGAAGTCTTGGTAATATTGCATTTCATATTAAAAATGTTATTCAATTCCAATTTCACTTCTAAAATAAATTAATTTCTTTGTTTTTCTATTGAGTGAAACCATAAAAGTGAAATTCCATTGCAATTCTTGTGCTAAAAGAAGCTAATAATGTTGAGCTTCAGGAAGTTGCATGTTGCAGGAATTTTTAACAATATTAGAAATTTTTTCTTCATATCCTTATTTTATATCAATAGTAACTCTTTGGATTTTCCTATCAATAGCTCTTAAAAAAAATTCGTGTTTAACACTAATGACAGGATAAAATAAAATGCTACTTATAGAATCATTGGTACTTTTAGAAGAGATTGTAATTAAAATTTTACAGTTCACATTCTCTTGATTCACTTCAATGAAATTAACTTATTAACAATTAGTTATCTTAATCTCGCTTAATAACAATAATGTCGCGACATGACTACAAAGTATTCAAATTTAATTCATTCTTCAATATTGTATGTATGTATATGTAGTTTTCTTCAATGCTAGAGCTCTTATAATGTAAGAAACTTGGTCAAGAACGTATAATTTAGAAACAACTCAATTTTTTTATTATCAATGCCAACGATATTTGCATAATTTCAATTACTCATACAATATTAAGCAAGCTCGTATACAAGAAAACAATTCCCACCATATATGTAGATGGTCAAATTTGCATGATGTAAGCATAAAATATTTTTGTCGCCAATTTAAAGAGTTCTGCTTTTGTTGCAAATTTTGCATTGAACAAAATTAAATAAATAAAATTGTGGTTTTTTTCATTAAATTTAATTTAACAAAATATTTTTGGATGAATAATGGCTGGAATAAAAATGCGAGAGAAAACAAAATGAATTTTTCCTTTTTACCAAAAACTTTACAAACAATAAGATGGGTATTGTTTTTGGACCAAATTTTGTATATTGTGTTTTTGACAATAATATGTACTTCACCGTTTCGAAGTAGGACGAAAAAATATTGGGAAATCTGTATAGTTCTATTGACTCTATTTTCATTGATAACTCATTTTGGATTGGGATGCGTATAATTGAACTTTGAAGGGTCATTGAAACAGTAATAATAAAAACAGTCAGAAAATTAACTCAATATTATTATGAATAATGATAAATGCAAATCAGCAACAGCAGACTGAAGACGTATAATATTAAATGGAAATAATCAACGACATTGCCTTATCTTCTGTTTAAAACCAAATTAAATTCCAATCTAAGACAAGGATGTACAAAATTAATTTTCAAATTGGAATGAATGCAGAAAACGGGCAATCCGGTCAGTTATGTGACGACCACACCAGATTTTTTTTCCATTTTATTGTCCATGACAAAACCAACAATTCAAAACATTTTTTTTTACAACATTTTATATAGACAATGAAAAATATTAAAATTTTCCATTTATGGTACATTATGTGTGTTTATGAATAAACAAACATGTGTATGTATTTTAAAAATTTTTTTTTAATTAAATTTTCTTGGCACAGAATAAGGACGAATTGTAAGCTACATATACATTATATGTAGATTGACATGTCGAAAGTCGGGCAAATATATTACATATGCATGAATTTCTAGCACAAAATTTTTAAAATCTAACTTCAATACATCCTTACATACACAATTACAAATTTATGTATATGCAAGTATAAAGTTGTAAGACTATTCTTAAATTAACACGATAATATTTTTAAATGGTTTTATAAATTACAGATATGTATGTGTGTTTATTGATTTCTAAACCAAAATGAGAAATTAATGATTGTTAAAAATAACTTGTTGCAAATATTTTAAATAAAAGGACAATGACATGCTTTTGATTGGTATGTGGTCCCTTAATGTAAACACAACAACTTGTAACAATCATTTGGATCTAACCATAAATTTCACATACATATTACATACGATAATAGCAATACGAAAATACTTTAAAAGAGAGTTTTTTGGGTAATAGTTTAAATGGATGATGGTTACCTATGATACTTATGGTGATCGATTACAAAGTGAAATAATTATAGACACGATTAGAGTAATTTTTAAAGATCTGTAAATTTTTTTTTTGAATAAAACAAAACTAAGACGACATTTTACGAATTTCCGACATTTTCGTATAAATTATAATAACAATATAACCGTAAAATTTCCTAGAATATAGGAATACAATGTCGCTTAAATCAATAACACTGTTGATTGATTTAAATCACACTGTTTAACTCAAGAATTTCTTAATATGCAATACAGTTAGAAAATAACCTCAAATTCAACTAAACTTCAAATCAAAGCTACCTGTTACATACAGAATACGTAAGAAAATTGAAATTTCACTATTTTCGCAAAGTGACAAGCTAGAAGACGAGAGTGGTGCACAAAATCATCATCCTACAAAATAAATTATTTATGAAATCCATGAAACGGCCACAATTTGAGACTTCTACGGCTTATATTCTTAAAAAATAATGATGTTAAAAATTTGGAAATAATAGCTATGTGGTATGGTTCAATTTCAGAGCCAATTTTGTCATTCTAATCTTTAACTATAGTGTCCCGCGGCATAAGAAGCGTTTAATCAGTCTCCAATATTTGCCAAATTTGAAAAACGTAAAAAACGACAGAAAAGCTGGAACTAGGTTAGGTTAGGTTAGGTTGTCTCCCCGATGGGTACACATAGGTTAACTAGAATGGAAGCATGCCCCCTAGGGGCACAAGACCACTAAGATGCGGCCCGCAAGCGCACCGCAGATCCCGCAGCCATCTACCAACTCAGCACATCTAATGGCGCCAGATGGAAGAGAATCTCGAGAGCCTGAGTAGGGGTGAAGCGTAATACTCCACCAATACATATCATCGCCATTCTTTGAATCTTGCTTATCAGCCTTAGGCCCCCTGCTGTGTGGAGCGCTGGCCACCACACCAGAACGCCATACATCAGGATCGGCCTCACTACTGCGGTGTATAGCCAATAAACCATGTTTGGTTTCAGGCCCCACCTCTTCCCGACGGCTTTTTTACATGAGTAAAGCGCAATAGTTGCTTCCTTACTCTCTCCATAACGTTGGACCTCCAGTTCAACTTTGAATCAAGAATTAGAGCCAGGAATCTAACCTCGCTGCTAAAGGATAAGCGGATTCCGTTGAGTGTCGGCGGAGTTGTTGTTGGTATCTTATATCTCCTACTGAAAATAACCAGTTCCGTCTTTTGTGGGTTGATAGTCAACCCACAGCCGACAGCCCAGCCAGACACGAGGCTCAGGGCCCTCTGCATCAGCCAACTTAGGGCATGAAGGTGCTTTCCAGACCCCGCAACAGTCAAGTCCAGCAGCGTAAGCTATCACCTTGCAGCTCTCCCCCTCCAGACTCCCCCTCCGCGACACGACATTGTTAAATGCGCCCTCAATATCCAGGAAGGCAGCCATCGTATACTCCCTGCAGTCCAGAGATTTTTCAATGTAGTGTATGAAAGAGTGGAGGGCCGTTTCCGTTGACCTCCCCTTACGATACGCATGTTGTGCCAGAAGCCTTGGGTTAAGGTTACTCCTTATGTTTACGTCCATCAACTTTTCCAATATCTTTAATGGAAAAGACGTTAAACTGATAGGTCTAAGATC